CACATCACCCCTTCCACCTCACTCAAATGTAGATATAAAATCGGAGATGCGTAAGTTCTATTCAGTTGTGTATTTGTGAACTAAAGTCTTTGAAAATGTAATAAGTTTTACGAAACGCGCTCGTGTCGCGTCAGACTAGAAATAAAAATGAATTTTGGAGAATTGATTTTTGATTTACCTCCAACAGTGAAGCGTAATGTACGAAAGATTGAGAAAATTCGTGTTAGAATTATTAATCTTACTTTTTCGGTCATATTTAATAATATATATATATATATATATATATATATATATATATATATATATATATATATATATATATATATATATATGTGTGTGTGTGTGTGTGTATGTGTGTATTAACTTATTTGTGCTTGCGGGGGTTGAGCTCTGCTCTTTCGGCCCGCCTCTCAACTGTCAATCAATCAACTGTTACTAATTACTAACTAATTTTTGTTTTTCCTCCACAAACACGCACACTGGAAGCAGCCCGTAGCAGCTGTCTAACTCCTAGGTACCTATTTACTGCTAGGTAACAGGTGCATCAGGGTTAAGGAAACTCTGCCCATCTGGCTGTCTCCGCCGGGTGCGTGGGATCGAACCCCGGCCCCTAGGTCCATGAGTCTAGAGCGCTGACCACTAGGCCACCCAGCCCCGGTGTGTGTGTGTGTGTGTGTGTGTGTGTGTGTGTGTGTGTGTGTGTGTGTGTGTGTGTGTGTGTGTGTGTGTGTGTGTGTGTGTGTGTGTGTGTACACTCACCTAGTTGTACTCGCGGGGACTGAACTTCGACTCTTTGGTTCCGCATTTCAACATTCAATCAACTGGTGTACAGAGTCCTGAGCTTATTGGACTCTTATCACATCTTCATTTGAAACTGTGAATGGAGCTTCAACTACTCTGTGTGTGTGTGTAAATAAGAGACCTTTTCCAACGGCATCTTTATAATTACACAACATATGCATGTCAAAAAGTTTCAAGGCCTTTTAATATTTTTGATCCCAGAAAAAATATAGAAAATATAACGCATTTTGAGGGCCGAATTTTCTCAGTGTATATTTTGTTATAATATGTACGATGTGCTTTGCTACGGCAAACTTCAAATAAACTTTGTGGATAACAAAGCTTGAGACGAATAGAACCAATAGTCTCAAACATTTCGTCCAAGAATTCAGGGTTAACAACTCGAATAGCTCTTAGATATATAGAGGGGGAAAAAAGTATTTATTGTTTCACATTGTATCTATGTCCTGAGAAATAATGAACATAAAATAAATTATTTGTAGGTTTTCTGTAAGCACTAAACTTAGGTGAAAAATCTTCCCAATGAATAAGAATATCCTAAGATGGCAAACATTTATCAATTTCAATCTCTATAGTACATGTTATAGAGTTGAGTTGATCATTAACTTTCGTTAAAAATTATGTGGATTTACATTTGAAAGCCAAATAGAGAAAAACATGTGTAACGTTTACCATATTTTTGGGGGGGTGTTGGAAAATATTCTCATGGTCTTGAAACTTTTGGATATGCATGTGTTGTTAATTATAAAAATACAGGTGGAAAATTATTAGTTAGGAACAGCCCTCGTTGTGATAATTGTGTCATTTATAAAATACTTTGCAAAGTGTTCTGAATAGATCAAACAGCAAAAGTTTTGAAGTTTCGAATTTCACAATATAAATATTCTGTAAACACAGGCCAATTATCTAACACAGATAACACTCCAATTATCTAACACTTTATATATATATATATATATATATATATATATATATATATATATATATATATATATATATATGTTAGTATATATATATATATATATATATATATATATATATATATATATATATATATATATATATATATATATATATATATATATATATACTAACAATGTGTTTAGTGTTTTCAAAATCTAGCCATAAATCGGGTAAAACACGGAAACGTTCGGAATTTTCTTTCATTTTCAAATAGGATACTTACGCATATATTTGTGTGTATTCACCTAATTATATTCACCTAGTTGTGCTTGCGGGGGTTGAGCTCTGCTCTTACGGCCCGCCTCTCATCTGTCAATCAATCAACTGTTACTAACTACTAACTATTTTTGTTTCCCTCCACGCCCACACGCCCACACACACACACACACACACACACACACACACACACCAGGAAGCAGCCCGTAACAGGTGTCTAACTCCCTGGTACCTATTTAGTGCTAGGAAACAGGGACATCAGGGTAAAAAGTTATCTGCCCATTTTGTTTCTGCCATCACCGGGGATTGAAATCGAACCATAGGATTACGAATCCAGAGCCCTGTCCACTCAGCTATTATACCCCCCCGTGTGTAGAGGGGGGGGGGTTAATTACCTGAGTGTAGTTACAGGATGAGAACTACCTCGTGGTGTCCCTTCTTCCTTGTACTCTTGGTCGTATGGCTCTTTGAAATTACTGTACTGAAGGATTTGGCTTCTACGACCTTCTTACTTAACTTGTTCCAACCGTCTACCACTCTGTTTGCAAAAGCGAACTTTGCAATGTTTTTTTTTATCAGCTTTGTGTAGATAGTTTGAATCTATATCTCCACGTTTTTTTTTAGTTGCAGTGTTCAAACATTTTATCGATATCTGTTTTGTGTGTGGGGAAGTGAAGGAGAGCTGAAGATTAGTTAGTTAGTGTTAGTTAGTTAGTGCTAGTTAGATCTAGTTAGTGCTGAAGATCTAGTTAGTGCTAGACCTAGCCATGAGGTTTAGCACTAACACTAGAGGTCAGTTGAGGCTTTGGCTGCATATTACAGTAGCATACGATATGCATATTCTTATAAATAATCTCCTCTTGTGTCTCTCTCATCAATCTTCAATCAATTAGCGCACTTTGTTACTAACCTCTCTTCCATTGTATCTACTTTTGACTTGCTGTACGAAGCCTTCCTGCTCTTTCTTCACTTCTTCTTACTCCTTGTAAGAAGCCTGCCTTCAACTTTCTCTTCGCGAGCTGTTGTTCTTGTCAAGTGCTTGTCTCTCTACTTTAACTCTTGATTCTCTTCAGTATTTCCCAAGTTGTGATCATGTCTCCTCTACTTTTTTCCCCCAGTGCCGTGCGATTTTCAGTATTTGTTCTCGGTATCTCCAAAGTGTGAGCGTACACTTGTGTGTGTGTGTGTGTGTGTGTGTGTGTGTGTGTGTGTGTGTGTGTGTGTGTGTGTGTGTGTGTGTGTGTGTGTGTGTGTGTGTGCGCGTGCGTGTGTGTGTGTGCGTGCACGCGTGTATTTTACTATATGTGCCTGTAGAATCGATCTATTAGCCTTTGGGACCCCGTCTTTCTAACTGATCTATTTCTCCTCTATTAGGTCTACTACAAGCATTTATCTCTAACACACGCGAGCACTCACACACTCAAACTGAAAAACTGGTGGAAACTGAGTATTAGATGAGCCATAGAGACAGAGCAGTTAATAAATGGAATGCATTAAGAAGTGATGTGGTGGAGGCAGACTCCATACACAGTTCCAAATGTAGAAATGATAGAGCCCAATAGGTTCAGGAATCTGTACATCAGTTGATTCACGGTTGAGAGGCGAGATCAAAGAGCCGAAGCTCAAACCCCGCAAGCACAACTAGGTGAGTATCACCATGTAAGTACACACGCGCACACATCGCCAGGAAGCAGCCGTCTAACTCCCAGGTACCTATTTACTGCTAGATGAACAGACGCATTAGGTGAAAGAAACTGCCCATTTGTTCTTGCCTCGATCGGGAATCGAACCCGAGGCCTTAGGACTACAGACTGCAGCTCTGTCAACACAGCCGCGGGGCCCTGTGTGTGTGTACTCACCTAGTTGTGCTTGCGGGGGTTGAACTTCGTCTCTTTGGTCGCGCCTCTCAACTGTCAATCAACAGGTGTACAGATTCCTGAGCCTATTAGGCTCTATCCTATCTACATTTGAAAGTTCGTGTGTGTGTGTGTGTGTTTTGTGTAAGTGTGTGTTTGTATTTTGTGTATCTGTGTGTATGTGTATGTGTGTGTGAGTGTGTCCTTGTGCGTACGTGTGTTTGCTTCACCTATATTCATGCAGGTATTAAATAAGTAAATAGATTAAACATATAGAAGGGGTACCACCTCTGGTGCAAGTGTAGGGACCCTAGCCATGGAGAAGAAAATAAAGAGTACTCAGAGAAGACCTTGTGGATCATATATATATTATACATGTATATATATATATATATATATATATATATATATATATATATATATATATATATATATATATATATATATATATATATATATATACATACATACATACATACATATATGTTTGTGTGTGTGCGTGTGTAATAAAATATATAATAGACGCAATTAAAACCATTATATTACCACTAGTATACATTTGTGATACTGGGAGCGTGGCGGCGTGCAGGGTTTCTGTATTGATTAACCAGAATTAGCACCAGGCTTCATAAATTACGAACATACTGCATCTATTTTTGCACCCGGCATCATTCTCACAAAAAATACTACCAGGAGATGCATTCATTTCTTGTAACATCACTCTGTATAGCTTTAGAAAACTAAGAGAAGTTCAGAAATTCCCGGAATGAGTGAAGTCAGAGCACACCGTGAGCTTCAAATAGCGCGCTCGGAAGCTGTTGTGACTAGTGCTGCCACCTACCATAAACAACATGCTCCTATGTTTGACAACTTTGCGGAATTGAGCTTTAATTCGGCTTGCCACCTATCTGAGGACAAGCCTTACATGATGAAATATATACTGAAGAATGGGGCTTGTAAATTAATTCCTAATAACAAAGAAATATCGTGATTTACGACTTGGTTCACCGGGTACGGTACGCCATGTTAGCTCAGATGTTTACTGAGACAAAGGCGCTCGGAAACAGTTTCTCCCTTCTATTAATGAAGCCCAGGATTGGAGACCTAATTTTACTAGCACAACCTGACCTTAAGAGTGTAATTCAACTCTATGTTTCTACATACCTTCATAAAAAACGTCGTAAACTCCGAAAACAATCACCAAATGCTGTCGCTGACGAATGTACCGTATAGCACTGTGGAGGAGGAGTCGACTGACAAGCCCCGCCCATCTTGCCGTGACGTCGACAAGAAACGCCTACATTTAGGCAACGTCACAACGCTCCGCCCATATTTACGATGACGTCACCTTGAGGCTCCTCCCTCGACCAGATGACATCCCAAGACGGACAGGAACGTTTAGATTCTGACAACCTGGTGCAGCGGGAGGATGTGCCGCCATGCGAGCCGCACACTGGCATGGTTTTAGGCGGTGTTGCAAGGGTTAACTTGCATTAATCAGTGTGTTTGGAATAGGCATGTGCATGTTCAGTGGATACAAGTTGGATACACAATGTGTCAGTGAGTGTAGAAGCATAAATTTAACGATGGAGCTGTGAGCAAGTGCGTATGTACTACGAAGTTGGAGATTGCAATAGTTTGCTATTGTTGGAAGTGTCACTGTTGCAAGCTTGCAGGGATCCCATTGACGACTGCCGAGCTGTTCACGGTGTCAAGAACGACCCAAGATGCCGCGCCGGAAGCAGGACTGCCCCAAACGCATGAAATGTAAGTAAAGCAGATAGTGTGGGTGAGAGAGTGTGTGTGTGTGCTCTACTTGATGGGCCAGCCTCTAAGATCACCCTGGCTAGCATGTGCCACTTCGCACTCTGTCCTTCACCTTGCATGGAATATCACCACCAAATTGTAGTTAGTATTGGCAAAAGATGCAACTTTTGGTGTGAAAATTTACAAGTGTGTGAAATTTGAGAGGAAGCGAGCCCTTATACCTAGCACGTGTCTTGGGTTATGAGGCAGAGTAGTGGTAGAGTTATACTTTTATGTAGTGAACTTTATGTGACTTTTTTGTTTGGAAATACTTGATATACAGTTTTGTTCATGTGAATGGGTATGAGTCGAGCTTTTGCACAAATTACTTTTTTTTTTTTTAACTATGACAAAAATGTAAACTACCTAAATAGGTCCGTTTCTTGAGACCGTAGTAAGGAATGGCAGTGTGGGTAGAAAGGACTACATCTCTCGCGTTTATAACACCACCATTATTACCACAACTACCATCACTATTGTCACTACCACTACCATCAACAGTACCACTATCACTATAGCTATCATTTTCGCCAACACCATCACCATTACCCCCACCACCATCATTACAACAACCATAACCACAACCTCTACAAACGTCTTTACCACAACCACAATCATTACTACCACTACAACAACTGCTACCGTTACCACCACCACAACCATCACTACTGCAACTACCACCACCGCTACTACAATTACCACCACCACCACCACCACCACCACCCTCAGACGCGAGGCCCAGCGCCCCCTCCCATGCCAAACCGTGCCAGCACTCAACAAGTAGCCAAACTCACCAACTCGCACAAGCGGTAGGCAACTTTACTCCCACTAAGTTTTCCTGCAGGGGGGAGCAACCTTTGCTTCCTGCTGTAGTCAGGGTGCAAGTTTATGTTTCACACCTTCGGGTGCAGGTGTCATCTAACGTGGTCTTACGACAGGGAAACTGGGTCAGCTATTGCATTAGATGCAGGGAAGCACGGGGAGAGGGGAGGAGGGGGTTGTCAATAGACTCGTGTTCTGCTTGTATGCAAAGGTTCCGCCTGTATGTTCTGTCTGTAAATTCGTGTTCTTCCTGCAGGCTCATGTCTTGAATATTCTCATCATATTCTGACTGCATTCGTGTTCTGCCTATAAGTTCGTATTATGTCTGTTGGCTCGTGTTCAGCCTGGAGGTTCGTCTTCTGCCTGGAGGTTCGTCTTCTGCTTGGAGGTTCGTAATCTGCCTGAAGGCTTGTGTTCTGTTTGCAAGCTCATGTTCTACCTGTACGTTATGTTATGTCTGTAAGTTCGTTTTCTGCATGTAGACTCGTGCTCTGCCCATACGCTCGTGTTCTATCAGTAGGCATATGTTCTGCTTGTAGGCTTCTTCTGCCTGAGAATTAGTGTTCTGCATATAAACTTGTGTTCTGCCTATAGATTCATGTTACTCCTGTATACAGTTGTTGTTTACAGTAAAGTCATTGTAGGTTTCGAAGTGCAGTTCGTAATGTGTGAATCCTGTTTCTAATGAAGAAAAAAAGTGTTGCATAACATTACAATTTGATATGAACACGTGGGGTAGATTGTGGATTCACCACCAAGCATGTTAAAATTAACGTGATTTACATGAAGTACAACTAGTAAAAATATTTAATATTTATTCATATTTGTTTACACGCGAGAAGTGCGGAAAAGGTCATTTTTAGATTCGTTAATTTTTATTTCTCGAATGAATGAGTTTTGTTAATTGTAACCTATGTTGCAGCTTGTAGGGTCATGGAGTGCATTCATTCATAACACTTTTTGGGGATAAAAATGCAACATGTAACACAAGCTCCCACGGCATCCTGTATAAAATGTATACTTTGTAAATAGTTTTCTTCGTAATTTCGGTTTACAGTCAGGCCCATGTGAATAAATTCATGTACGTGTATTCCACTCCTAATTATAATAATTTGGGCCCTTATGCCTTTTCACTGTCCAAATATTATAAACGGGGATTACGTATTGTTATGTAAAGATTAGCTATCAATTAATTAAAAGTCTATGTGACTAGGGTCGCTTTAGCTTGCCTAGACGTCGTGGAAATACGTCACCCCCACACAATTGACAGCATACATATGTACTCTTACAGGAACACACACGCACGAAATAAAATCTCATTTGGTAGATAAATATGTCCCGCATCAAAGCATAACCAATATACCGGTCTGCAATAACCCCCTCTCCCCCTCCCCCCACCAACAAAAATCAGAAGCAGCGCTTGAAATCAGGTAAGAATAATTCTTGTTGATTATCAGTACTTGACATGATTTGGGAAATAAGCCATACATGGTTAGGATTAGGAATAAATCCACTGGTTGAGAGTTAAATATGTGTGCAACAATCAACACTAGATTCAGGAATTAGCCTAATCCACACTCGACTGTTAGATAAATTTGCACACTACTAATGGATAAACCCACACGCGAAAAATTAAGAAATTCAGAACCGGTAAAGGAATAACTCATCTAGAAATATGTTCCTGACGAGAATAAATCGACATCTTTCTAAGGAATAAATCCACACCTGTCTCAAGAAATACCTCTCACTCAAGCTAAATATAACTCTACACTCGACTGAAGGACTAAGAATTATGAATACAGAGCTGAGAAATAAATCAATACAGTATATATGACTGAAAAAATAAATCTGGACATGTCTTTGAAATAATTCATCATAATGTTGAGGAAGAAAACCACCTACGGCTTAGGATTAAACACACATCTGACTGAGGAATAAACTTTCACACAGTTTAATCGCGTGTCCAAGTTCTGTACAAGCTCATGGTATAAGTTTAACCTAATTTCGAGTGTGAAGCTAAATCATTCAACCATTTTTCTGTGTACAATTTATAGTTCAACTGGGGAAACTTATTTATAAGTTCATGCAAATCTATGTTCGGAATCAATCTTTCACATAATTTGGTCCAAATAGTGCAAGTAAGTCAGTTGAAATGTTATTACAAAAAATCATATAAATATTTCTAGCAGGTATCAATTTTATTTGTAATTTTTTTTTAATTCTTTCTTGAAGTTCAGACAAGTTAATTTAGCAAGAGTAATTATTATTGGTAAATTGATGATAATTTTATTGCCAAATTGTGACAGATTTCGATGGTGAGTGAATACAGTATATTAAAGAAGAAATTCTTCCCTGTAATTTTTGGTTAATTTCAATGCAATTAGCAAATAAATTCTACACGTTAGAATGTGTAAATCCAACCTCTAATGTGCTGTACATCCTAGTAATAAAATATAATATAAATTGGTATATATGCTTGCTCTCCTGGGCTACTCTACGCCCGCCCGCCCTTGCCTCCACACGCCTCGGATCGATAAAACGAAGATTTATGCACTCGCAGTCATTTAACATGCCTACTTGTTCACTTTCGATTCTTGTGGAGAAACAACTTGCTATGAAGATCGACGCGGCGTCCTGCCTGTATGGATTCATGAATTAATGATGCCAGTATGTATAATGCCTTTCATGTTTGATTAGTGAAACCTAAGTGTTATGTTCTAGAGATTCCAAGAACAATTTTATGTTTTAATTATTTCTGGGTTTTTACCTGTAACCAGAATACGTAATTTTTGCTATGTTGCCATTAAAGGAATCATAATTGTTTTCTGACGGCCACTGGGAGGTCAGCACTCCTGGGCAGCGTTGGGCCAACTTATCCACGAAGAACACCACACCAGGAAAATCGATCATTTATTCCCCTGAAATTGAAAATAACACTCATTTATTGACTGGTCATTCTTCAATTATGTAAACCTACTAGTTCTGTGTACGACGTAAGAAAAATATGGATAAAAGTCGATACATTGACGACTATAATTCCCGCATTTGCAGTTTGTCGTTGTGGATAATACATCACCTTCCACGGGCGTTGTACGAGGATGATGTGTATCAACATATGAACCCAACAAAATATGTCGGTTTTCATGTCGAACACCCCACGCTTATGGACCAATTGCATGATTGACAGCAGCGCTCCCGGTAAGCGAGACAGCGAGCGAACTGAAGCTTCGTTTAGAAGCCGAATTTGGCTTTTCTTTTCGCTAAGAAGAGCACAGGTACGCGTTAGTTGAAACTATCACAGAGGAAAGAGAACATCCGCTTTCCGTTTTCTCCACCTTATATATATATATATATATATATATATATATATATATATATATATATATATATATATATATATATATATATATATATATATATATATATATATATATATATATATATATATATATATATATATATATATATATATATATATATATATATATATATATATATATATATATATATATATATATATATATATATATCATTCCGTTTTCCATGCGCCATGCGTTGAGTTCCAGAACCACATGGGGGCGTCTAGCGTCAGGCTGGCCATGACCTGCGGAAGTT